TGCCCTTTCTCTCGCGATATTATTTCGGCTAGTTTCCGTGATTCACTCATCAGCTCGTGGCCAGGTGTGTACTCGTTCTTGAAGTGAACTTGCGCTAGACCAATGTCATAGCTTCTATAATTATACCAAATTATGTACAGGTTGCTATAATTTCGTATTCATATATAAAAACATGTTATTAAGGAAACAATTAAAATCAGCCGGCATACGGTTAATTGCACAAACGTCCATTCACGTTTAATGACGCCTTTAAGCTCTAATGAATGTCAAATTTGTATGTTTAATTATAAAGATTTGATTTTTTGTTTGTTTCCATTGAATTGGTTTCAAAACGACTGAACCTTTATTAAAAATTATTACACCTACACAAACTATATCATACGCGGTTGACATGGGCTATAAATTACGTGTGCCAAATCGCGTGAACATAAATGATATATAATTATGAGATATCTAAACAAATAATAAACAATAATCTGATATTTTACATTAGGTTCGACTGTGCTTGGTGGTTTCCTACGAGATTGGAACATCATCATAAAATATAAGATGCCTACTACTTACTTATCATCCAGTGAAAATGTTGATACAAGGGAATAATTTTATACTTTTCTCTCTCTTGTACAGATATCTGTATTATCGTTACGAATTATGACAAATGGATGTAATGTATAGCAAAATCACTTTCAGTTTACATCACCTAATTACAAAGTTTGTCCAGTCGTTAGAAATAGTCACAAGCTTTGAACCATTAATTTTTCTATTTTAATAAATTGTCATGCAGGAGCTGATAAAATAGAAAAAGTCAATTTACCTACTTATGGAATTGATTTGGAACATATCAGTTACGTTTTTAGAATTTGACATCGATATATGAATTTAAAATCAAACACTCTAATTTTGAGTTGGCGGAAATCAAATCCAATTTTATTTAAACTGCCATTTTTTCTAGCACCCTGTACACAGAGCTCTATATTTAAGTGCCTAACATCCGCCGGAAGTGATTTCGTTCAGGTGTCGTCGATGCCCGAAGTAGTCTTCCGGCGTACACTTTTCGGTTTCGGTTTTAAATAAAGACGTATGCTGTGTTTCGTCACTAGATAAATTTATATAGAAGTGCATATAAGAACTATATTTATCAAAATAACTGTTAACCTATGACTGAAAATTTGTAATTGTAGGTACTTAAAATAATAAAAAATAAATTAAAACATATATGTACATGAGTTCGAGTCCCATCTCAGAGTGCCAGGGACAAGGTTCATTTTTCATTAAAAGTATTTTTCAGTATAACATTGTGAATGCAAAATTTTATCAAATATAATAATTAGAACACAATGTTCATCTTTATCGAAAGTTTAAATATTTGTAAAAATATTTCTTTCGGCTGTTTGAGTGGATTGCCTGAACATTGATGAAAATATGCTCTGTAGTAGAAAAAAGTAACAAGTGCTTGACATATATGTTTGTTAAATATAATTTAGAATTACAATCTGCTATTTTCTAAATTACTTGTACACCTTTACAGGTATCAAATATCCTAATCCTAGAGAATCTACCAATAAAATCATTCTTAACCTGAAGATTACAAGAAAACAAGAGAGTCTGTGGATTATTAAATTTAATATTTACCTTTGATACATAAATACCACACGCTTTTAGCCGGTTTTTGTCCCAATTTTCGCTTGAAGCTATAGTTAAATATCCCGCTGATAAATATTAGATAAAACAATACTAACGACACTATAATTATTAAACCAAGTCCCCTGTCGTGTTATATATGAATGCGATAAACTCGATCAGCGCATGAGAAAGTATAATAAGTTGGCTGGAGCATTAGAATGGTTGTTGAATACATCAAACAAATGTTGCTTAGACCTTTCTGCGATAATGTATAAATCGTATTATGTTGTTTCAAGCTTTCATGATCATTTACATCAGAATAGTACTCTTTTACGGGATAACTACTATCACTCTTCTACGGGATTATACTAGTATTACATTATTTTTATTGAATTACCGTTATCTCCGCGCTGTTGCAAGCGCTATGACCATGGAGTTACCAACTCCATGACACGGTAGATATACAGCAAGATACATGGTATCAGTCCTGTAAAAAACTATAATTCTTAATTGCATTTGCTCGAAATCAGTGCGGTGTGTGCGAAATTCAAGGGTACACGGAAGCAGATCTCTAAAATTATAATCTTCTTATTGCACATTTCGCAAGTGGCAGCGTTGACATGTGCCGGTGGCCTCAGCTTTCTTTCACTGAACACTTTATCCTCGTCTTGAGGCCCCTGTCAACTGATCAGACACAACTCGACAGGCCAATTATTAGAGTGACGACTCTTTTATAAAACAATCATGTGTGGTTTATTAAAATAACAACATTGAACTTTCCGTTGACGTCTTTCTGAGAAGGAGACGATTCTTTTTTTTCGGTTTATTTATCTTGGTAAATACAAAATTAGTAGAACTGTTTGTTGTGTAAATGTGGTGTAATATCCTCCTTCGGTTGTTCAATATTAAAAAAAAGAGTATATTAAAGTTGTCGTCAACGATATTAAGAAACTGCTAAATAATTTGAGTTCTGTCTGGAGGTGTTTAATAAAATTTAAAGTAGATAATATAAATAATTACTTTAGAGACATACTAAAATTTAATAGTTTCGAGTACCTAAGACTTGACCAGCAAACTTTTGCTAAGCAAGTGAATCTTCTTCTAAGTATGCTTACAAGAACTTTCAAAGACTAACAAAAGTGTCAAATGTGAGCGTACAATTGGTCCATAGAAATGAAAAAAAAAATGTAATATGAAATCTTTTTCTTTAACAGATATATTTAGTCGAACATGAAATGACCATGTTGTTTTGTTTTATTTTATTGTTTTAATAATATTGTTTTTAACCGACTCTAAAATCGAAAAGGAGGAGATCATATGTTCGACAGCGATGTACATTTATTTATTTATATTCACCGACCTTTCCGCGAATTGGTGACCGATTTTTAATTATTTTTATTAGACTGTATATGGACCCGATGTAGTCCCGCATAAATTTTATTGAAAACGAATTGATAGTTTTGTTTTTATAATAAAACAAAATCTGTTTTCCATCAAATATCATTAAAATATTTTTCAAAACGTATTTTGCTTACATTGAAAATAGGAAAGCATCGAACGAACGAACGAATGAACATCTTTTTAACTAGCTGTTTCCCCGCGACTTCACCCTCGTAAATTATAGCTTATGTCCCCCGCCTATTTAATTCAAACAAACGAACCATCAAATCTTCCCCTTTTTAATATTAGTATATTGGAAAAAAAATGTCGAGCAAACTGTTTGTTTGTTTGCTTTGCTTGCTATTGCTTGCTATAATCTACGAGGGTGAAGTCCCTCTTTGTAATATTAGTGTATTGGAAAAAATATGTTGTAAGTAAGACTTTTCTTAGGAAATGAGATTCTGTTTGTTTGCTCGACATATTTTTTCCAATATACTAATATTATAAAGAGGAAAGATTTGATGGTTCGTTTGTTTGAATTTAATAGGCGGGGGACATTTTTTTAATATAGATATGTCAACATAGTGAAAGCACTTTGTTGACATATCTATATTAAAAAAAAAAACACTAAAAATTACTATTCAAAAGTGAGAAATGCTACCTGTCATTTAATTTTCTTGAATTAATGAAGTCACTTTTAAGATAAGTATTTTTATTTGATGAATTTTGTATTCACAATGCTATACTGATAAATATTTTTATATTTTATGAAAAATGCATGAAAAACATTTATTAGTAGTATTTCTCACTTTTTTAAATTTGATGTCGACTATATTTTTGGAAAAACAAAATGTTAATGTCATAAAGTTCTTCTAAAAGCTAAATAATTTCTTGCGCCCATTCTTCTTGTTAGTAAAAAGATGTCTTGAAACGGTTTTGAGTAAAAACACGAAGATTCAAAAATGCACGTAAAGAATGAATTTGAAAACAAAATATATTTCAACTTGAATAAAAACAATTAAATCAACAATATTTTATTCGAATGATAAATTAGTAAACCTATAAATATTGTAATAAAAGTTGTGCATCTGTTATAAACTGAATACACGTTTGGATTTTTATCCCCATATTTTTAACATTTTTTTTTTATTTTCCAAAACTATCAATGATAAGTTTAAATCTCGATTTAAGTTCTCTCATTTCATTTTTGAATCAGACAACACTACCGCTCTGTCTTATGTAAAAATAGAAGGTCCTTTTACACATCATTGCATTTGAAGGTCCTTGTTGAACAATTTAAAAATACTGCAGTTACGTGCGAGGTTACCTTTACGTTATGACAGCTCAGACATGACGTCTTAATCGAGGAAGATTGTAGAAAACATATCGTGTCTAAATCAATTTATTACTTGCTTGTTATACGTTCATATCTGTTTTACCGTTATTGTTGAATTAGGTTCAGAAACTAATCATCAATCTGTGTATTTATCACAGCCAATGTTATTTGTGTCAACATTTGTTTTTTTTCCTCAAATATTTTGGCAATATTGACAATACGTCACATGTTGTCACTCTATTGTTACGTATTTTCTTTTAAACCAAGTGTTTGGAGTAAAAAGTTATTGATATTATTGTTTCGTCAAAGTCATCACAGTCAACATTCGATTAGCGTTTCTTTGTTTTAGTCATGAAACTGTGTCATTTAATTTAGACGCAAAAATAAATTCATCTTTCTTTGGTTAAAAATAGCCTGTAACCGGAACAAGCATACGGTGGGCACACCGTCTGCCTCTGCGAAGGTGCGAACCGAAGCGTCCGTCGTTAGTCGAGCAGGACGCGCTGCCAGTCGCTCCTCATACTCCACTGGGAACGAACGCGCACACTTGCGCCCGCGCACTGACGCCGTAACATATCGCGATCTATATAAATTTACTTTCCTATTCATCGTTTTAAGTTTACAAACAAACATTATTATGCCGGCTTGAGAGAAAACAAAAATGTCGTTCTGCAGAATCACAGGCCGCAGCAAGGGGCTGCCCAAACCCAACTACTTTCCACTTCTTGCGCCAATATCACCGGCGGACGCGAAACGTTGTTGCAGAATCACCGGCAAATCTTATGGTTTACCGTCGCATCACTACATTCCAGTTCTACTCACTGCTCGATCAGGAAAAACGAAATGTAAGATAACCAATGTTGCTGGGGAACTCGGACCACATCACTATAGCCCAGAAATCAATTATGGAAACCGAAAGCATGAAATGTTACCGGACTATCGATATATTTTCCCTGTTCTTGATGGTTCGACTGAAGCTCAGAAAGTGTTAATGGATATGCTTACTGCTAAACAAGTGACTGAAGACAAACGTTATGTATACACTGTTCAAGAAAGACGTTGTAGTTTAGTATTCTCTGCTCAAATGGAGGCGGCAGTTCGTGATGGTGATGTCCGAGATGTCATGTTGGCTAAAGATTCGGACACAGTGCTTATTAAAATGAAACAGGGTCGTAGCGTGTCTATGGATTTTAAAGATTTTACTGAAGATGTGGAAATGTTTGAAGGTGAAGGGCCTAATGCGGAAGTATTGAAACAAAAAGAACTTGAAGAATTGGAAGAAAAAAAGAAAAAGAGAAAACGTGTCGCTTTATCATCTATGAAAAAAATATTTGAAAACAAAGAAAGAATAGCAGAAGTTGAAGAGATGGAAGAAGAGAAACTACGACTAGATAGAAAAGCTAAAAAAGCAAAATTGGACGTGTGTAAACATGAAAAACTTGATGTGAAAACTTTTACTTCTAACAATTTTGATCTTAATCACATGCGTTCAAAAACAAGTATTGTCATGTCTAGTGGAGACTGGAGAGATCAATTACACCCTCTAATAGAATCATGGGACTGGGACATTTTCGAGAAAAACGTTCACGACGAACATATCATTCCAAAAGTGAATAAATTACCTACGCCTGTGAAAATAACCCCTTATCATTGTGCGGCTGAAATATACGAGACAAATCCAAATATTAACAATTCAACATACTCATTAGAAAGTGTACCATGTGTTAATCCTTTAAAACCAGTGAAAACGCATCCAGATGAGTTAATTTTGGCTGCAGTTAAAGATTTATCGGAAGAACGATTAATTGAAACTTCAAATATTTTTGAGAAATTAACTGATGATAACAAAATTGATATGCTGCCTGCTGTCGAGCACTTACCAGACATAATAAAAAATATGAAAAAAGGAAAAAGAGAAAAGGTTTCTAAAATTACAGGTCTCACCTTAGATATAAACAAAGCGAAAAAATTTATCCCTGGTCAACATGTTAACACTCCACAAGGACCAGTGTTTATTCCGGGTCAAACTGTGGAAACTCCTTCGGGACCTATTTTCGTGCCAGGTCTCAGTGTAAATACTCCTACGGGACCTGCAATTATACCAGGGCATATTGTTACAAATGAATATACAAATGAACCATTTTTCCTAGCTGGACAAGTTTTACAAACAAAGAATGGAGACGAATTCATTTGTGGACAATCAATGAAATCCAAGGATGAATCATATCGATATGTAGAAGGCCAAACTGTATTATCACAGGAAGGCCTGAAATTTATTCCTGGGAAAGTAATCAGTAACGCATCCGAAGAAGTATTTGTTCCTGGTCAAACAATTATGACACCAGAAGGAGTTCAATTTATACCTGGTCAAACCATAACAGAGAATAACGGAATAACATTCACGCCAGGACAAAACGCTAAAATAAACAATGAATGGCAGTTCGTCCCTGGTCAGGTACTACATCAAGATGATGAATTACATTTTGTACCTGGTGCAACTATAAGCACACCTAATGGACTTAAATTTGTTCCTGGTCAGACAGTAGCTATCAACGGTGAAACTTGTTTTATCCCTGGAGTAACCAAAACGACTTCAAAAGACGAATTAGAGTTTGTACCTGGCACCACAGTTGAAACTGTAGATGGGCCTAAGTTTATTGAAGGACAAATTGTACACACAGATATAGGAGAAAAGTTTATGCCTGGAAAAACAATTGTTCAAGCTGATGGACACGTTGAGTTTTCTGTAGCTAAATCAATTGAGGATATATCGTTTTCAGAGGGTGCACCGGTTGGTTTACCAATCGATATTAAAACATCTTCTATTTCCGAGGAATCTTTGTATGTATTTGGGCATATGATTCAAACAGCCAAAGGCATTGAATTTTACCCTGGCTCAAGAATACCCAAAATAGAAGGTAAAGTAGTGCCAGGAAGACTCATTAAAAATGAAGCAAATGAGTCTCGTTTTGTCCCTGGTATGATGGTAGAAGGCATATTTGTTCCTGGACAAATAGTATTTACCGAAAATGGAGAACAATTCGTTCCAGGTCAAGTGGTAGATACAGCAGATGGACCAAAATTTGTACCTGGTCAAGTAGTGAATACAAAAACTGGTCCGAAATTCGTACCAGGCCAGACTATACACACTATTGATGGTCCGCGCTTTGTACCTGGTCAAATAATTGAAACAAAAGCAGGTCCGACATTTATACCCGGTCAAGTGATTTCTACGGAAGAAGAAGGATCTAGATTCGTTCCAGGTCAAGTAGTAGATACTGAAGAGGGACCTAGATTTGTGCCTGGTAGAGTAATCGAGAGGGAAGATCATGGTGTGACGTTTGTACCTGGACAAATTGTCCAAACACATGAAGGTCTAAAGTTTGTTGCGCCTGATCTGACGGAAGGAGAAGAAGGTCTTGAATTTTCTGTTCAAAGTTTCGTGGTGACTCCAGAAGAACTTAAGCTTTTGAAAGTAAAAACCAACCCTAATGATACTACATCTACAAAAGGAGAGTTGACAATAGACAGGAGTATGCTAAGACAGTTATCTGAGGCTGGTATGTCTATTGGTAGACAAGTTCCCGCCGAGTTACCAGCAATCCATGTGATTTTAAATGAAACTAGAAATGCTGAAACTTTAAAAGCTTTTGTAACTGACTTTGGATTAAAAGATGATGTTGCAAATCAGTTGATGGATGTAATTACGTCAATAATAGAGATGAGTGTCCATTTAAAACGTGAATTACATGAAACTACTAGTAGTACTGATTTTATGAGCGAAAACAAAAAAAGACGACCCGATAAAAAGAAAACAGAAATTGAAATTGTTGATGACTTCAACAATGATAATAGCCAAACTTCTCATCAAGAACATGTTAAAAATTCTATAGCAGCTGCAGTTCTTGCAGCATTAGTAACTGCTGAGCAATTTGAGGAAGTTAATAATAATAATGGAAAAGAAAAGTATCAATTAATATTAAAATCTATTGACACAATTTTAGGAAAAGCAATCGATGAAGATTTTGTTGCATCTATGTTCAAAATTCTACAAACAGAAGAAAGTAAGGATATTCTTCGTGAAGAAATACTTGATAACACTACAGAACCTAAAGTAGAATTAATTAAATTAGCAGTTAATAATACTTTACATAAACATTCCTTCTCCGAAAATGATATAATAGATAAATTTGGTGACTTTTTAAGCAGTGAAAATGATATTCTGGGACCCGCTTTTAAAAATATATCTCGTAGTGATACAAACCTACTACATCATGTATTAGAAAATATTTCCGATTCAATTTCTTTTATAAAAACAGATCATGAAGCAACGGAAACCTTTCATAAAGCTATAATATCTGCAGTTCAAGAAGCTAGTGGTAAGGAATTGGAAGTAATGTTACAAGATTCTGATAAAGGAGACCTTAAAGAATTGATCGTGCAATCAGTTGGACTTGCTAGAATACTTGGTATGAGAGATGTCGCTTCAAAATTATTATTAGTAGTCAACGACGATAACAGTTTGTCTAACATATCCACTGATAATATAAGTCTCAGTGTTCTGAAAAGGTTGACTGTAATGCGAAAGTTGGCAGAAAACTCTCCAAGCTTACAGTCCGCTTTAAAAAAATTAGAAACAGATCCTGAATTAGCTCGTACTGATCCTAAGCTAAGAGACCTTGTACGAGAAAGTGCTGCACTTATGATTTTACCTGAAGAATCTCCTTTATTGACCTCCGACGAAATCCCAATAAGTCTACTTCATCCTGAAAATAGTTTAGCGATGGAAGATTTCTTATACCAACGCAAACAACATTCTGGTGCACTTCTGATTATAAAGAAGGGATTACAAGCTGTTGTACCCCGTGAAGCTAGTCGTGCTGTCTTAACGGGTCAGGTGGCTTATAAAGTACTTGACGAAAACGGCATCAGACATTTTGAACCTATGCATGTATTCTCTGCCCTTAATCTTAGCCAACCAACAGCACACCGTTTCTCTATGTACAGTTGTCCAGTTGTAGATGATAATGATGAAGATTTACAAACTTTTACTGGTTATTGTCACGTCAGTAATAACCAGAGAATCACAAAGTTTGGAGGATGGTCTCGAAGACATAGTGGTGTTTTACTGGATAGAGAAAACACCAGAAGTAGGATGAGCAGCGTAGATACTACTCCAAGTTACAAAAGATATTCATCTCGATCTCTCTCTAGATCTCGGTCTAGCTGTAGCAGAAGTCCTCCCAAGGTAACCTAACAGAAATGCCCTTCTTAATCTGAAAACTTTATTACTGTCTAATGACTATAAATACATATATTTTATTTTTGTTACAGGTTGAGGACGTGGTTGTAGCTACCACGGACTACACGGCAACTGGCGATGACGAGGTCTCACTCAAAGCTGGCGATATCGTAGAGGTTCTCGACACCAAAGCGGCTCTCGGATCCAAGTAAGTAGCAAACACTCATTAATTATTAGCATGTGCTTTGCACAACTGCGCTCTCGTTGATGTAATCCATAACGTATAAATAACTGTACCGACGCAATCGCCTCGGTAACTGAAGCCGTTACTTCGGCTTTAAACCCAGTTTGTAATCATATACAATAATATAAAATTATAATGCACATCACATTAATATTAACAACCACAATATGTCACAAAAATATCACCCAACCTACCAACACAAATTCCTCAAAAACAACAAAATAGATTGCATTTCTAAATGTAACAGATTTATTCTCGAAAAATAGGTCACACAAGGGAAATGTCGAGAATGCGCTTTAGTTGTGATATTCATCCCATGATGCGCTGAACATTCCACATGAGAGTGGGATACAGTGTAAATATAGATGGGGTCGATGCACTGCATCTTGCGCAACTCTCTTAGAAATTGCCTATGAAATTTCATTAGCGTCTTACTCCAATCACTCCTCTGTGCTTAATACAAACATTATTCATATCTAACCTATCTCATGACTCACGATTGCCATCACCTCGCCTGATGTCTGACGACGTAATGAGATGAACTTATTGGTGCAGGTACAGAGGGCGCGTTTATTGTTACGAGAATCATTTCTTCCAATCCAGGGGTTCGTCTCTAGACTATGTGTTTAGCGTTCCCACGTACAGAATGTACTATTACTGATTATGAGTGAAGAGGAAGGAAGATATCAAGAATTTTCATGAGATCATTGTCGTCGCCTCATTGTATATATCTCACTTCAGAGCAAGACGTGTTATGAATTTATCTATGTTATATGTTACCATTATTCTACCTGTTGTGATCTACATTTAACTTTTGTGATAATTGTGCCATGCCATTGTTTTGGCTTGCTATTTAGTATTTTAGCCATTGTGTTTTAAATCATATCAACCAAATCAATCGATCCATTGTATTTGTGTATTCCTAATATGTTATAAGCAAGGTATGTAATAATAAAATAAATAAATTTTAATGACTTTTCTTTTAGACTCACGCTAAATTTATCGATGTTAAAGTTGATATATAAATAAATAAATTTAAAGTAATTTATTCATAAAATATAAATTTAATATTGAAGTAGTCAAACATTTTCTGTATTTTTCTATATAATGGGAAACCAGAATGAGATTTCACAATATTCGTACAAATTACATATCACGCAATACTGACCTCAATAGATTTTAGTTTACAACTGTAAAGCGTACGCAGTTAAATTTACAACTGATGTCTGAAAGGAGCCAATGTTTATATTATCAGATTATGAGAAAACAGTCAATCGAGATCTTGATTTTATTCAATGATTTAATTAGCTTGTATGCACAATCTGACCCATTATACGGAATTCCGCCAAAGAATATTTTGAACGATAGTTTGCTTAGTGATCAAATGGTAAGTGACGAAATAGACATGAGTAGACAATGTACATTCGTAATATTCTTCATGATGTGACTCAATCTTATGACTCACTACTTACGACTTAGCGTCCAACACATTCTATTTTTAAAACCCTCAACGTGGTAATATAAATAAAAATATAGGAATAAGAAATAACCAATGACGTTCTTACTGATTAGACTTCATTAATAATACTTAAATAGACACATATGGAATTGTCGAATGTCATATAGTTAAAGGCAAATCAATATAAATCTATTCTACATAAGAGGCACAGGTACGTCGACCAAAATTGTTTATTAAACAATCAAATGTAGGTATAAAAATTATTCAATTTATATTCAATAGATTTGTACTATGAAAACGGCTCAAACCATTCTAAAAATGAATTTAGTAAATTCATATAAGTAGCATGAATAATATAATAAACGACGCAAAGGATATTAGGTTATAAGCTATAAACATGATAATAATTATTTGTTTATTTGCCATAAACATGGTTTATAGAAACTTATAGTTCACTGTTTCCAAATAACATTGAAAAAACGGGAAATAATGTCACGATAATAATAACCAAATCATCGCACTTTTAATATTTTTTATATATACAATAGTAAAATATAATGAGTTTAATATAATTTCAGAACAATATGAATATTGAGACAAGTGTTTGACTTCATTTTAAACAGTAAAGTTTATTTGGAACCATTTTCAACCTTTTCCATTCTTAGCTAATATTGGAATAGCATTTATACAAGACTATGAGATCGTCGATGCTCTCGTAAGTTTTGAAGAGTCCTTAGTCTTTAAAATAAATGTTCTCTACAAAGTTACCATCACCAAGATGTTTAAATGGTTCCCTACGTTATTAACCAGATGAAATTCAGAGATAACCCAGCGTATCCAGTTGTTGCAACTTTCAGCACACTAAAATAACGAAAGGATGTCCTTTTGGGCTACTGGATATGTAGAATGTCTCGGAAAACCAAAGTTATGAGTAAACGTGATTGCTATAATAATACATTTAAAAAAAAATGTATTTTGGTAAGGCAAATCACATTGCACGAATCTAGATTACAGTAACATGTAACTGTACACAGCGATGGCTCAGTCAAAAACACGCCACGTCATATAAAATGTCCAGTTTCTATAATCGAATTTACGCATTTGCGTGTTGTTTTATGGTCATGTTAGAATGAGTTTACTTAGGTAGGTAGGTACCTGATGTGCTGCCATTTAGCTGTTATTATGGCAAACTATCGGACGACATATTTGTTTATCTCCAGGGTAGTTGGGGATCAGAATAGACTGTACGTCTTAAGTAGAGCGATACACTGAAAAAATAAAAAAGTATTTAATATTAGTGCTGGAGCTGTACCGTCTTATGATAAGGCCAATATCTAGTTGATTTTGGCAAAGGACCAAACTAATCGCACAGGTAAACTATTTCTTATAGAGCTGTTATTTTAATATGCAGACACTGAATTAGCAATAAAGTCATATAATAGCAAACGTTTATGTTGATGTTTATGTTTTACAATTAAATTTCGCAACTTCTTGTAATATTAAACATACAGGAATATAACATTATTATCTGTAAAATATCAGTAACTTATTTGCTGTATCAGTTAGGCATCTCTCATTATTTTTACAATGCTTCTCATAATTCTTAATAATCTTAGACGTAGTCTAGAGCGAGGGTTCATTGAAAGACTGAAGTTTTGTTACACCATTTATTTTACGGTAACACTCAAAAACCCTTATATTAAAAATCACAAATGTATATATACATCACCAAGAATATAATCATACCGCGATTCAAAATGACAGTACGACATCTGTTACGCAAGATTGGAATTAATTTATCTATTAATATTTATTTACTAATTATCTTTTATCGTTATGGTATAGGTAACTCTATTTATTGTTTATTATTATTATGGAATATATTTTTTATCTATTTATATTTTATTTATGTAGGACATGAACACAAATGTTGTAAATATATATTACCTTACTTAAAGTAATAATCCAATAATAATAGTTTTTTACTATATTATTAACTATTTATTGTTTATTATTATGGAATATATTTTTTATCTATTTATATTTTATTTATGTAGGACATGAACACAAATGTTGTAAATATATATTACCTTACTTAAAGTAATAATCCAATAATAATAGTAAAAAGCTAAACAATCCTCTGAGAAGCAAATTTCACGAAAAGCAATACATATTTGATAATATTATAAATGGCAATGGTTAGGTGGTCCAAAATTATAACCTGGTTAGTTAACATATCTACAGTTATTCCCAAATATACAGTTGGTATCAAGCGTTTTATTTTTAACTAACCAATACTCTATATTTTCCTCGTAAAAATGCGAACTATTTGTATTTTTATTAGATTCGACAGGCAAGCTGTCAAAACAAAAGACCTGTCAATATTGGTGTAACTGGGCAATATGGGAACAGGGGGGTAAGGGGAGTCTGGAACGGCTGGAGCTACGGGTAAATGTGCCGGCATTGACGTCACGATGTTTCTGGGCCAGCCTGAAATAGAGCATCATAACCGGCTGCCACCTTTGTTCAGGTGGACAGTTTATTGTCCATTGTGAATTTTGCGCAAATGAAATTCAAGTTATATTAAAACTTCTAAATTATTTTACACCACTCATAAATACTTTTTCATGTGGCTTAAAGCACTTTACGTACAAGAAATTTCCTAATATGGCAGTATATAATCGAAGTGTTATTATTAAAAATTAGATAGTAATAGAATAGTCGTCTCCGGGACCCTGAATAAGTTTGTTGGATATATCGCCGGTTTCTGAATTGAGAAAAGTACAAAATCTCAACCGATTTAGTTTTTTACGTTTCAAGTGGCAAAAAGTAATAGTTCTACCGAACTTAAAAAATAAAATCAGAAACGCAAACCTGTTTAAATGACTCTCAAAATATCTTTTGTACGGTTTGAGTCGTGCTTAACTTTAAATTCTTAATTCAGAAATCGGGTGATAGAGTCATTAGTAGCTGAAGTATAATAGTAATTTTATTTTAGAATACCTAGCTAAACAAAAATACTATAACAAGACTTCATAGCATACATCGTCTTATACAAAAATATTATTAGACATCGCACAATTTACTGTTATAGAATAGAATAGGTTTTTATTGGATAATAGAATGATTAGTATAGATGGAAGGTTTAACACAATGTTATCTGATATGATTCCAACTATTTTTGGTCTAAATACTTTGCACTAGAGCTATGCATTATGCTTATTAACACGATGCAAATGCAGTGACCTACGTAGGATAATACTATACTCGCATATAGCAATGTCACATTTACAAAAAACCTTAGACATTAGCACCGTGTATAAAAGCATATTTCAAGATTGTTTGCTCGACCAGTGACTACTATCATTAATAAATGTAGAGAATACCCTGAATAATAGTATCTCTATATGACCAAATGAGAATGAGACTAATTACATAAAAACCAAACGCACTATATTTGAAACCAGGCATGAATCTTAGGAATTCTATAGCGAGAAGAGTTACGATAGCACGTCATAAATTAAAAAGAGTAATTGTGTCACAGCACCGATGTATTTATTCGACCGAGTTCTAAGTCGAATTAGTAAGTGATTATACAAGTTACTGTCCGTGAATTAAATAAAATATCATCACTACATAGGGCACGAGAAGTCGTTCACTTAAATTCACAGACAGCTTATTTAATAACTTACAAATTCAACTTAGAACTCAGTCCAATAAGTACATACATTCTGTGATACAAATACTCTTTTTGATTTAAGAAGTGTTTTTTTTGTATTTATTTAACTTTACTAAACTAGTCATAAACATACTACAACATATAACATAGAAAAAATATAAATAAATTTACACATAATTAGAGCGAATATATACATACATATATACAAACACACAAATATATATATATATACATGTACATCAACACATAGATGATGATGACAATCTACACAAGCCTTGAAAAAGAAAGGAGTAGACTTGCTATTGTAATTCTACTCACTTTAGTTTCAGATTTGGCCTTTGGTTTTGATGTAATCGGTCTCTTTCTCATTTGGTCATTCAGACGTAATTCCCCTATTCACATTTTGATTACAGTCGAACATGAGTATCATTAACCTATAAATTTATTGATTATTTTAACAATGTATTCAAACTGTGCGCTAATTGCAGCGCAATATTATCTTTAGCATTTGCCAAACGACAGTTTTAAGACAAACGCACAAAGCTTCTTTTAATTTTCTCTTCTTTAAATAACTTGTTATAAATAGCTAACACAGATCAAATGAGGCAATCGTAGCTACCGGATGCATGGACCCTGACATTGAGGTGTCACTCCACCTGGCAGTGTCGGATGACCGTTTTGATTGACAGGCCCTCTCGCTTCATGTAGCTCGACTTTCTTAGAAATATGTATCTAGAAGTTTCTAAGTAGATATATTTCACTACACGTTCTTCTGTCACTAATTTTGGCAGATGAACGAAATTTTTAATACGCATTTTTACGAATGCTGTGTATTATACATAATAATAGGTCGGGGAAAAGTTTCTTTGCATTTTATATGAAAATTCAAAACATTTTTTAATAAACCGTTTTTTTCGATAACTATTTGCTATCTTGCAGTAGAGATGATCCCAATGCTATAGAAATTATGGGGCTTCTGATCAAAAAACCACGACAAATAGTTTTCACCTCGCGTAATAATAACCTAAAGAATTCTGAAGAGACTGAATCGGGTGACAATCTGAAGGTGCAAGTTCAGGACTATATGGCAGACGCATTAACATTTCCCAGCCTCTCTAATTTTTTGCTGAGTGCAAAAGATGTCGGAGGTCTAGCGTTATAATGATGAAAACAAGGCCACTTTCTCTCAACTTCTTGCTATAATCATATCATATGTTTGCAGTAGAGTTTAGAATCGAAAGTCCTGCCTGGCGGTAATAGCTCATAATTAAAATGCTCTTCTAATCCCACCAAACACACAGCATCACCTTATTGAGTTTCAACCCGGGTTTCGCCATAGTCTATGAAACCTTCTCTTGCATTTTCTTGTCGTACGTGTTTCACATTTTACGCCGCAATAAAGAATAACAAATGAGTACACGGTTCATTAGATTTCTTTAAGTGAACTCGTAAGGCACCCAAAAAATTTCAACTTTTTTGTGTAACCAGCTTTTTCAAATGCGCCAAAACTATTTTGTGGTCAATCCCCAGTTCTTTAGCTACGTTGTTAGCTTTATCAAAGTTTTCTTCGTCTAAATCAAAATTTCCGCACTGAAAAGCTTAAACCAAATTTGTGCTACTCTCACAGAAAAAGCAGGTTTATAAAAGTCACAATTTTTTTCGCGGCTTGCGTTGCATTTTTATCTTTTTTGTAATAAAATTTTAAAATGTATCTAATTTCTTCATTACATTCACTCGTTTTGACACTAAGAATAACAAATGAAAATCACACATTTTCCTGTTTTGAATTCGGAGTTATCTTGTTTAAATTTTAAACTTTTTCATGATACTAAAACTAGTCAGATACAAATGGTAAAGCCAGAAAGATTTTAGCATATTTTATGCGAAAAAACTTTCCCCAACCAAATATAATTTAATAATGTATTAATAAAAATATACAGCAAGTTAAACGCTTTATAAGATATTTAAATATCAACGTCGAGAGTCAACGACACTAAGGTAACACAGCTGTCTGTCTATCACAGACTCTTTTAAGTAGTCACTTGAAAATTTTAAATTGCTCATACATAGGGACTTTAATTTTTTTTAAACTGCGTATCCGACTCTCACTGAGCCATTTTTTAAGAAATCCGAACTTTAATCATAACAGATATAAACATAATCGAAGCATCCGAAAAGACCTTAAATAAGTAACATAGATATGAGAACACGATGTTGCGAAAACATAATCAGTACTTATGGTTTCTTAAATTAATAGATATTTTTACATGTCTATTTAAAGTATCTCATAAATTTAGACACTAAACAATGCGAACTTTATCATTGAAAACGCAAAAATGCACGATAAGTCTTCATTTTCGAATATCAATGAGACCTTTACCTTCAATTAATTTTGTTCCCCGTGAAAATCGATCATATTCCCTATTGAATACTTCGAAATACCCATTACCCTTTCGACCATACTAACCCAGTCCCGTCTCCAGGAGGCCTCGGGTGGACCCAGCGTTGGATATTGGAGAAGCCCAACTGTTGGACTCCACTGCTGCACGACACAAAGCAGCTGTCCGACCTAAGAAGAACCATCCGAAAACCAGACCCAATGGCACCAAGGAATGCGACGAAAGGTTTGTTTTTGACATTAACGCTTCCTTGGACCTCAATTCAACTAACTTTAACATATTAATATTACCAATTGCATTTAAATTCGCCACAATCTGCTACTTTATTTGATATGGAAGTTTGAACTATACATATATTTGTGAGTGAATACAAGTTTTGCTTTCAATTACGAGGATACAAATTGCTAAGTTATAGTTTCACAAGAATGAGGAAGTATTTAAGAAAAAAAAGAAAGCACTAAAAAAAACCCCCACTTGATGGCGAGTCTAGTAAAAGTAGATTTTTGCAGGAAACGATTGGCCCAAAGATAGTCATTTCCTTTCCTTTTAACTAACATATTAAAAAACTGAAATTTGCAAAGTTCGAAACTTACATATCAATACAAATAAGAAAAAGTACAAATAGAATATGAGTTGTTTATTGAGTTTTGAATACTAATTTACTTTTATACATGAAAGTAAACCGGAAGGGTTGTCATGGACCTGCCACACCGCCCACGCTTCATACTAGCATTACTAATCCTGCTGCTAGGCACATTTTGACAACACACCGCCAGAAACTACACAGCCACATATGTAATGCTTTAATATCGGTTCTTAATAGGACATAGTATTTTTTCTTGCTTGGGGCCATTATACTATCGGACCTCCGAAGCTTAGTGATTCGCACGCCGGTATCAAGGTGTCGCCGTCTCTGAGGTCCCGGGTTAGATTCCCGGTCAGGTCAATGAAATGAAATTTTCTATATTGGTTCGGGTCTGGGTGTTGTGTTCCATCATTGTCTCAGATACTACGTAATAGAGCTTTATTTATTCTTCTTGGAATCTAAGAGATGTATGTGTTTTGTTTAACATTAAAAGAAAATAAAACTTATAAATTTGTCGTCTTAGTAAATAAATTAATGATGGCAATATTTTTATTACGTATATTTATGTTTTGGATAATTAATATGATTTCGGGATCTGGAGTTACTATCGTTTTTTGTTTATGATATTTAATTTAGAGTATAACAAACAACGCACGAGTCAAGCGAGCAAAGCGAGCGTGCCACGGCAGCGTCCGGCGAAGGGCCAGAAGCGAATCGTTATTGTAAAACGAAACAACTAGTTAAACCAATTAACCCTCAGGACGCGTCGTGGCTTTTCTTCGTTGCCACAACGCGTTGAGGTCGAATAGCATGTCTGTCACAGATTTAGCTATGTGGTTATTCTGCCATTGCCACAACGCGTCGTGAGCGTTTCCATTAAAGCCATAACACAAATTTCGCTATGTGGTTATTCTGCAATTACCACAATGCATTGTAAACTATTTTTTCGCTGTAAATGAGCGAATTTGATCTTTGAGCGTAACATATACATATACTTAATTAGCTCTGAACGACAAAACTAACTAACGAGTATTTCAAACTGAAATCCCAATATTATATAACACACGACCTTCATTCCGTTACGAAATCCGACCGTGGTCCAATTCCCCCATTTCTATGAATTGTACTGAAATGATAAGCTGTGGGAAATAAATTAAAATAAATGTCCCCGAGGTGACCGTGTTATTGCTCATGCGACATCTATCTCCGACTAGTGATTTGGTGAGATTCATTATTCAAATCAGGCATCTTTACATTAAAAAATTGTGATAAAATAGTCGGGACTTTTCTAAAAAGAAAGCAAATAGAAACTAACAAAAATCTATTCCAGAAACTGTGCAAACATTTAACTTAAATAAGATTTTTAGCTCCAAAATAAAAAAAAAAATATTTTGGAACTATTCTAATAATAAAACTCATTCAAAACCGTTTAAAAGGCCATAAAACACAATATTGTACAGGATATATTTTTTTTGCGTTAAATCAATAGACAAATAAATGAATACATATTAATAAATAGTTCGTATTAAAAAAATATAGATATTTTTATACAACGCATTTTGATAATAAGCATTAGATATTGGAATAAAATATATAAAATTAAATTGAATATTCTCATAAGTTTATTTTCATTAATTTTATATAAAAGTTTCAAGAATAATTGTATACCTACGTAGTCTGTCTAGTAGTCTGCCTAACTAGGCACACATTTTCGAGTCTGCCTAGGTGCAGGGGTGAGAGGCAGCGCGTAACCATAGCAACGCAATATACAGACCTGTAGGCTAATTCTCTAATTTCCAAATCTATGGCAATCCCGTTAAAGGATATAACTATTAATGGAATTATATAACTTTATATGTCACAATCGTTTCTAAAACTTTGCATGATTTTAATGCTAAAATAATAAAAACTTACATTAACCGGTCAAAATATTACAGTCAGTATATTGTTTGACATTTTTCAATAACTGTCAATGTAACGCTTATAGGGATCGAACGATACTTTCGATACTTATGAAGTATCGATATTTTACACTCGATACTCGATATTTTAGTATCGATACTTGAACATCAAGGTATCGACAGGATCGCGGAATCGACTAGTCTGTTTTTAATATATCGAGTACTTTTTGTCACTACTTAAAACAAATTACTTTCCATGGTTAAAATGTATACGGTGGAGATCGGTGACTTAGCAATTGGTCTGCTGGAATGCACCCAGCGATTTTTAGCAAATCGCATCCCCAGATTTGACTTAAAAATCTTGAACGCAGCGCAGCTGAAAGGAATGAATTCTTTTCAGCTGCGCTGCGTTCAAGATTTTTATTACTTTTTTCTTCGCGCCCAATTGTGCTATTTTGTGTTGTGATAAGATTTTTTCATTTCATTATCTTGATAAAAAATGAGCAGCGCTGGTAAAAGTGGTATTAGTACCGTGTGGAAATTCTTTGAGAAAACGGGTAAAAACTCTGCAAAATGCAAATTATGTTTTAAAGCCAGCCGGCGTAGTTTATTTGGTAAAAAACGAATTAAATAAATTTAATAGTCTTTCATTTCAACCTTACTTTCTATAGGTAAAGTACATTACATCTTTACCGAATGTGTTTTGGGTATTTATTTATTGGTATTATGATAATATTTAACTTATTGATAAGTTGACTATCTGACTATTAATACGAAGGGTCGGTAAAATGAATAAACGTGTTCGCAGGTATGAGTTTACTTTCGGACTCCTTGATGTTGAAGTGCCACTTACAAATTACAAAAGTCATAGATTACGTTGCCACAGAGTGATAAAGATCATTACACAGATATGCCACACATCCATAGGTTTTTACTTCTATTCTCTAAATAAATGATTATATTATACAATGTTATACTCGTACTTAGTATATAAATTACTGCATTCCACGAAAACAAAATCATGCTGTGATCATGCCTCCAAAAAAGTATCGATACTGAGTAGTATCGATACTTTTAGATTGATACTTTTCGGGTATCGATACCTAGGGTCGATACCGATACCGATATTCAGTATCGTGAACAGAAGCCGATACTTCGAACCCTAAACGCTTACCATAGACATGCCAAATAACGTACCTATCAATTGTCAAATTGAAATGAATTGTGACCGGAACCGCATACACTTATGAAAAGCTACATTGAACATAAAGAAACACATTTTATCCATTTTAACAGAAAGAGATATAAAAAATAAAATAATATGAGGCATGTATACACATATAATAGTGATACATTTAATTTATTTCACAAGAAAAAAGTATCTTATTTGAAACGAACGTTGACCCAAATGTGACAATTACAAAATTTGCGAGACATTACAACGATTACAATAATGCATTAACAGAGCCAATAATAAATGGCGTCCGTGTATCATATTATAATGATATATTAATGTAAGGAATCTAGACCGACTAATATATATTAGTTACCTACTTACGTCTAATGTGTGACGCGAATAATGTTTTTCATTATAATATAGAATACCTGGAATTTTATTACTTAAAATTGGGTTGTTCGAGTAATAGATTTTATCTATACCACTGTTTTTCAATCTGTGGGCCGCAACTCCTAAGGGAGGTCATAGCGACTTACTCGGGGGTCGCTTGACTACAGTAGAACATATTTTTTGTAAGGAAGATTTATATTTCAATAAATTAAATCGTAAAAGGGACCTAAATAAAGAAAGATAAAAAATATTTTTTTTATCTCTCTATAGCACAAGGGGTTGTGCTCCAGAATTACTCAGCCTCGAAGGAGTCACGTATATAAACAGTTTGAAAAATACTAGCTTATACTAATATTATAAAAAAAGAAAGATTTAATTTGCATTGAATAGGCTCCGAAACTTTTGGATTGATTTTAAAAATACTTTCACCTACGGCAAACTTCATCATACGCTGGTGAAATAATACTTGTAAGTGTTCATTTTAATTTAATTTCGGAAAAATAAACATGTTTTCTTGTCTAAATATTAAGAAGTCAAACTTTTTTTATACCCGTTAAAACGCTGTCCATCATATTCATGACGTCATTGTGATGTCATGAACGCAAAATAGATGCATAGAGTAAAATATTAAAAGATGTCAATAAACAAAAACAGTGCCATCTAACGATCAATTACGAAATAAAAAGATATAAATAAGCTAAGAACAGCGCCATCTTGGAATTTGAAATATAATTAATAAGCATATCTTTAAGATTAATCTAACAGCTATCGCCATAGAGTGACATACCCGTGACACACAGACATAAAATCTCGACTTTTAACTTTAAGATCTAAATTGAGAATCGCTATGGTTATTACGATGTAAATTTTAGTTTTTATGCAATTTCATAACTTATTATTTACTACTGAAACTACCCTATTGTCATCTGATCTAAATCAACAGTTATTCTGGACCGTTCTGTGGTACATTTGTAATCTAACAGGTCCCGCGATAACGATAAGAATATTGTTTAGCCAAGTTATAATACAACCTTGTTTCTATCATTTTTAGTTAATTTTTAAATTCGTATTTGTTAATTTTTAAATTATTTATTTTATAATTTTTAGTGGGCAACTACTTATGTATGCGAGTTTCTATATTTTTGGAAATGACAGCCATTTTTTCATTTATTTTATAATTGTGTCATAAATTCGCCATTTGCGATATTTTTGTATCAATATATAGCCAGTGTCACTCGGCATCTAATAATACCCTATATATTTATATCTGTTAAATATTTTAAAAGTTATGATGGTATTGATAAATTCCGTAAACACAATACACTCCTTTTTTGGGCAGTCGTGTAATAGAAACAGCCTTGAGTTTGACGGCTAGCGAAGAGCTGTCAAAGTCTAGAGGTTCAATCAAATTAAACGCACTTTAAATATAATAAATATAAAGTTTTATGACAAAGTTGGAGGCTGATTTTTACAGAATAGCAAAGCTGTATGCGTATACATATAATAGAATAGCTATATGAGCCAGTATTAGAACGGGTGACCAAATTTTATCATCTCGAGCTCCTCCACACTTCAGAAGGCACGTTAAGCCCTTGGTCTCGGCTGCATGTGCAGTCGTTAACACAAAACAATCCACACTGATCCAGTGTAGTGGGTCACGGTCCATTCTCCCTATTCGATTCTATCCGATCCATAGGGGAAGGGCTGAGCCCCAGCAGTGCGGACCTCAATGGTCTAGTTATGATAATAATTATAGCTGTATGCAAAATTTCGGTTTTATAATAATTGCTTTAAAATTCAACTGGAAGTTTGAGAAACTATGTTACATGTATGTATCATTTACATAACAGCTTATAAAATGTAAGGCGGTAAAGAGATGTTTTATTAGGATATTATCGGATAATTTGAAAATAAGATGTATAGTTTACCTTGATGGCGTGCAAAGAGATTGATTAGGTCAACGTCCCGTGTTCTAAGAAAATATTGCAGCCACGCTTTATACTATAACTCTTTAGTACCCACAACAATTTATCTAGAGCTAACAACAGATAAAATCTATTCTGACACAAAGTTCAGTTTTTACTGGTCATCAAAATTGGCTTGGCCACTATTCTGAAAATAATCTACATACATTATTAGCATTATTAACATGGCTTTTTTCCCACCCACTCATCACTCGCCGAACAAATGGTTGACGATATACAATTTCGCCTTGTCGTGTCCCACTTTTTGTCTTAGGTAGATCTACACCGCTAATTTGGGTTGTTCTGGAGAACTAACCTAATTTCTTTCGGCGCTTTCCAATCGCTCATCTTGAATGTCATGTTTAGTTTATAGTTCG